AAAAAAAAAAAAAAAAAAAAAGAGCTAGGTAAGTGGAAATTCAAAAATAAATAGAAAAGGAGGAAACAACCCAAATGTCCACTGATGGATGAATGAATAACCAATATGTGGTATACATAATATACAACAGACTATTATTCAGCCTGAGGAATGAAATTCTGATACATGCTACAACATGGATGAACCTTGTAGACATTATGTTAAGTGAAATAAGCCAGACACAAAGGACAAATATTGTATGCTTCCATTTATATGAGGTAGGTAGCTAGCTAGAATAGTCAATTTCATAGAGACAGGAAGTAGAATAGTGGTTGCCAAGCTGCTGGCGGGTGTGTCTGGGTGTGTGGGTGGGTGTGTGGGTGGGTGTGGAATGGGAGTTATTCTTTAAACCGTACAGAGTTTCAGTCTGGGATGATGTGAGAGTTCTGGAAATGGATAGTGGCAGTAGTTGCACCAAGGTGAATGTACTTAACGCCTCTGAACCCTGCACTTAAAATGGCAAGTTATATGCGACGCATATGTGAACACGCACACACCGAAAAACAAAAAGCAACGAATAGAGCCCTTTTTGGCCTCCAGGCGCTTGCGTTTAAAAAAACAAGAGAAGACGCATACAGCCACAAGGAGGGTAGCGCAGGATGAAAGAACAGAGCCAAAGACAGGCAGGGACCCCGAGTCATAGCCCACTTTAGGCTGGGGTACTCAGAAAGCACTTCTCAGTAGGCATAATAATCTGTTTACCTGGCTTCCCCATGAGACATTAGTCACACCAGGAACTCTCCTTTTATTGTTACGCTCTCCAAAAACCAGAATGCCTGGCACAAAGTAGTATCTCAATACAGGCGAGTGGAAAGACTCTTGGAGAGAGAGCCCCAAATGTCCGCGTAATTTGGAAACGCGTTCATGTTCACGTTCATGGGTAAACGCCTGGGATGCGCTAGGGGCCGGAGAGAGTAGTCCAGTTCCCCGCCCGGGAGCTTACGCCCCCAAGTCTGCCAGCCTTCGCCCACCGAAGGAAGTCCCTGGACCTTGTGGAGCTCGCGGTCCGGGGCCCGAGGGCAAAGGGCTGAAGCGGTGCCTCTCGAGGCTTCAGCCGCCTCCTCTGCCCCTGCGCCGCCTTATCCCCGATAACTTCGGGACGCCTTCTGGAGCGCCCAAACCGCCAGGGGAAAATATCCGAAACCTGCAGTCCAGGGAAACGCCTCCAGTTGCCGCAGAGAAGGCGACGTGGGGCCTCGAGAAAGAAAAAGCCTTGCCGCCCAAAGCCCAGGGGGAGGGAAGCCCGGGAGCCCACCTGGCACACTCGTAAGACGCCCGCTGCCTCCCGCGTTCCGGCTCGGGGCCAGCCCCGGGCCAGCTCCGCGCCGCCGCCAGGAGGCAGGCCTCCCCCATGAGGGCACCGCCTGGCCCGCAAGAGCCCCGCCGCTTTCCGCGTCCGCGCGAGCTGGGTGCGCCGGAGGGGTGTCGCCGCGACGGCCCCCGCCCGCGACAAGGAAAAGTTTCTTGATCTTGTACCAGCTTGAGGGGTGGGAGTGGAGATTTCCCAGCCGAGGCCGAGAGCTGGGAGCCCACTAGGACGGAAGGCCCGCGGGTAGGGGACAAGGAAGGCGAAAGGGGGACGCGCGGGAGAAGAAACGCTTGGGTTTCCGCGCTGGGGAATTTCACGAGCGCGGAGCTAAAGGTGGCATACAAACGTGTAGCTTAACTAAAGCAAACAAAACAAGTGGCGTGCACAAACACGAGGCTTTAGTAAAGCTCACCCAAATCTCCGTTAACGCTCTCTATCCTTGCAGCGCTTCTCCTGGATTGAAATTCCGCTCTAACCTCCAGTAAATCCTAACATTTTCACCTGAGTGGCCAGAAGATAACTTGCCACGTTTTTTCAAAGGTTTTCAGGGATGAGCTCTTAACCGTTTGGGGAAGGACCTTCGGGCAAGGTTACAAACGGAACTGCAAAGTTAATCTCCCCGCCCTCCTTGGTCAGACAAGTCCACGGAGGTGGTAGCAGAACGGAACGACGGCTGTAACTGATCATCTAAAGTAACTAACGGTCTGCGAACAAATTCTTCCTCTCTGTTTCAGCTTTGAACACTTCGCCACACACCAACCCTCAGTGCAGCGCAAATCATGGTGTTTATTTAGATAACGACTGAGTACTTATAAAACTTAAACTTTCAAATGTAAGAGTGAACTCCTTGGTAAGGACTCCTGGCTACATCAACAAAGCAATGTAATGCCTGAGTAATAGTGCCGATTAATGTTGGCTCAGGTTAATGCTGAGCCCATTACAATAATTAGATGGTTCAGCCATGTATCAAACGAGAGTCAACGAAAAATTATTTAGGACTTTGAGGCGTTCTCATACATCTTCCAAAGATCTATGATGGACTTTATGGGTCATTTGTAACTGTCACTGGTTGATAGCTGTCCTGAGCAACAAAATCTTGACTTAAAAATAAGTCGTAGATGGGGTAACAGTTTATTTTTGTGGCTCTGTAATTGATAAGGGGAGTAATGAAACGTTTGGAAACGTGAAAACTGCTTGATCCATAATATGATATACACAAGGGCAGCTGGTGATTGTTCCTACATAAAGCCATTGATGTTTGATCCTCAGTTCTTGTCAAGTGATCATTTTAATCAGGAAGGTAAAATTTTGAGGCAAGTTCCCCACTTTGAAATAAAAGTGTTTTAGGAAATGCAAAAGTCCAAAAGGTATGGCTGTGTATGAATTCCACAAACTATTAGGATTTTCCCACTAGCCAAAATAAAATCAGCTGGTGACAAAGATAGGTGTACTTAAAATACCATCGTATTTGAAATATTTCCACTACCTTGTCACCTGAAAAGGAAAATTGGGCTGAACAGAACTTGAATCTTCTTTTTAAAAATTATTTCGTTTCTTCTCACCAGTACCTATTGGAAATATTGGCTGAGTAGAGATATGTGTACACGTTTAGTAATTTATTTCGAGATTACTGTGGAGTGTTGATTAGAACGTTCCTCTTACTGATAACTATAGAATCCCTTACCCCATTATGAAAGAACTTTTAAAAGTCGTTCCTAGATGCATTTTCTGGTGTGTATTTGGGTTTTCACTAAAAATTTCTATTCCTTCTCTGCATTCAATGGTTACCTTCTTTATTTCCATGAAATTTGTCAGATCCTCTCATTAGAGCAGCTTAGTTTAGCTGTCAAGTTTCTAGGGCATTCAGTTGCAGACAAGTGACTAAAACGCCAGCTTAACAGCATTTTTATTAACAGATGGTGGAAAACAAACGTCTTTGGAGAAGAACCGAAGGGGACAGGTTAAAAGGTCAATAAACAATTATTACTGTGCTTAAACTGGGGGGTTTCTCATCAGATTCGGTGGGGAGCCGCTCGCCCTATTTGGGGGATATGGAACAACGCAGCAGACCTCAGGGCCGTTCCCTGTGGGGACCACCTCAGACGACGGGGTGGTTATCTCCTGGCTGGACGGCTCCGATAGGCCATCGAGTGGTCAAACCGTCGCGTCCCGGGAGTGCTGCTGAGGTTTGGGTTGAGGGCTAATTGAAGAGGAGACTGGGAACTCTTAACTCGTGCATCGTCCCTTTGTCAGACCACCGCGGGCCTGCGCGTACTTCAGGTCTCAGCCCCTTTGGTAACGAATGGTGGGGTCCTGTCTCCTCCCCCCTCTTCTCAGTTGCTGCTCCCTCCTCTGGGTGAACTTTCTCTCCCGAGCGGGGCTGCTTTCCTAGGCTTCCTTTCCCTTGCCTCGGTAGCGCTCTGACGTGCACACCATGTGACAGGCCTCTTTCTGCTATAAGCAGAGGAAAGGCCCGCCCTCTCCTGGACTCAGCCCTCTCCTCGCCGATCTCTGTCCCTAGACTCTCAACCGTCCCGCATCCTCCCGGGCGCCCGACGCTCTGACTTGCTCGCCCGGGAGCCCCAGCACCCCCTCCTCGACTGAGCCGGCGAGGGCCGCTGGGAGGGAGGAAGATAAAGCCCCCCGCCCGGGCGGGGTGCGCGCGGAGCCAAACAAGCGCGGAGGTTTTGGGGCTACCGCGGCGGCGCAGGAGTTACAAAGTCGCAGCGCAAGCCTCTGGCACCGCTGCGCAGCCCGATCAGCGGCGGCGCCCCCCATTGTGGCGCCCCCAGGCCAGGCCAGCCGCCCGGGATCTGGGCTGGGGCGCGGCGGGAGCCCGGAGCCCGGCGCCCCTATGGGCCACCTCGCCGCCGCCGCGCCACAGCTATGACCCTGAGCACGGAGATGTCCGATGCCTCCGGCCTCGCCGAGGAGACAGACATCGACGTGGTGGGGGAGGGCGAGGACGAAGACGACGAGGAAGAGGAGGACGACGACGAGGGCGGCGGTGGCGTGTCCCGGCTGGCTGTCCCCGCGCAGCGGCGGCGACGGCGGCGCTCGTACGCCGGGGAAGACGAGCTAGAGGACCTGGAGGAGGAGGACGACGACGATGACATCCTGCTGGCCCCGCGGACAGGGGGCTCGCCGGTGCCCCCGGGCCCAGCCCCGGTGGCAGGCGCCGGGACCGGCTGCGGCGGCAGCGCGGGCGCGGGCGGCGGCGGGGGCGGCGGCGTGAGCGCGGGCGGCGGCGTCAAGAACCCCCTGGTGAAGCCGCCCTACTCGTACATCGCGCTCATCACCATGGCCATCCTGCAGAGCCCCAAGAAACGGCTGACGCTGAGCGAGATCTGCGAGTTCATCAGCGGCCGCTTCCCCTACTACCGGGAGAAGTTCCCCGCCTGGCAGAACAGCATCCGCCACAACCTCTCGCTCAACGACTGCTTCGTCAAGATCCCCCGCGAGCCTGGCAACCCCGGCAAAGGCAACTACTGGACGCTCGACCCCGAGTCCGCCGACATGTTCGACAACGGCAGCTTCCTGCGCCGGAGGAAGCGCTTCAAGCGGCAGCCGCTGCTCCCCCCCAACGCCGCCGCCGCAGCCGAGTCGCTGCTGCTGCGCAGCGCGGGGGGCGCGGGGGGCGCTGGGGACCCAGCCGCCGCCGCCGCCGCCGCCGCCGCCGCGCTCTTCCCGCCGGCGCCCCCGCCGCCCCCGCACGCTTACGGCTACGGCCCCTACGGCTGCGGCTACGGCCTGCAGCTGCCGTCCTACGCGCCGCCCTCAGCCCTCTTCGCCGCGGCCGCCGCCGCCGCCGCCGCCTTCCACCCGCACTCGCCCCCGCCGCCCCCGCCGCCCCCGCCGCCTCACGGCGCGGCCGCGGAGCTGGCCCGGACCGCCTTCGGCTACCGGCCTCACCCGCTCGGCGCCACCCTGCCCGGCCCCCTGCAGGCCTCGGCGGCCAAGGCGGGCGGCCCGGGCGCCTCGGCGCTGGCGCGCTCCCCCTTCTCCATCGAGAGCATCATTGGGGGCAGCCTGGGCCCCGCCGCCGCCGCCGCCGCCGCCGCGCAGGCCGCCGTCGCTGTGCAGGCCTCGCCCTCCCCCTCTCCAGGGACACCGTCCGCGCCCGGGTCCGGCGGTGGCGGCGGCGGCGGCTGCGCGGCTCAGGCGGCCGTGGGACCGGCCGCCGCGCTCACCCGTTCCCTCGTGGCCGCCGCGGCCGCCGCCGCCTCCTCCGTCTCCTCGTCCGCCGCCCTGGGGACTCTGCACCAAGGGACTGCCCTGTCCAGTGTCGAGAACTTTACTGCTAGGATCTCAAATTGTTAATAACGCTATGTTAGCGCGCTTGAGAAAGAGAAGGTAGGAATCCCGGCCCCTTTTTTCATCTGGGTGGTTTTGTGTTTTGTTCCCTCCTCCCGGCGCGGCCCTTCCCGACCTCGCGCCCCCATTCCACCGCTTTGGATTCTCAGATGAGACTGTCTGGCAACTGCTAGGGCGCGCTTTTCTGCTCTGCAAGTCCCTCTTATTTATGCAAAGTCGCCCTATGCTGCAGCCCCCCAACCTAGGGCGGGGAGGAAGAGGGTGCTGGTGGGGATCCGCCCTGTCTAGGCACAAGGGGCTTCCTTGACTTTGGGAAAATTTTTAAAACCTAAGCCTTTTTGAGGTCTAGAGAGTCTCAGGTCCAGGCGTTAAAAGGAAAAAAAAAAAAAAAAGGATCGATAATGTTCAAAAGAAGATTAATACAAAAAATAGTAAAGGTCCCGAAGAATGCCAGAGAAGCAATAGTTTTTATTTGAGAACACTTGTCTGGTGTACTTTTTCATGAAAAGAAAAAAATGATTAACATGTTTACATAAGGAAAAAAGTCAGAATTATCATTTCTTATTTTAACCTGTGTTTTGTATCATAATAGACATGAGGAATTTTTATTTTGTACTTACTGCGTATTCTTTGCAAGGAGTATTGTAAATTTTGACTGGCAATTATTGTACTATTCTAATGTAAGATTTTTACACTTTTTTAGAAATAAATGCTTAATTTTCAAAGAAAATTCTCAAAAAGAATCGGCTTCAGTCATCCCCTTCTTAGTTTATTGTCTTTTCTGCTAAAAAAGTTTCCTTGTGAGATAAGTAGGAACCCATTATGAAATAGAAAAATAATATTTTCAAAGACAACAAAAGCATCATGCCATGATTTTTCATTTATACTTTCTAAGTCAAAACCATTGCAGGAGATCAGAAATTGTTTTTAAACGACTACAAATAAAAGTTACTTTGGTATACATTTCAAATCTTATTTGATTCTATTTTGAAGAGCATTGAGCCTACTCAAAATAAAAGCCACAGTTCTTTAAGATACTGATAATTTTACAGAACTTTAAAATTTATTTTCGAGTTTCTCACTCCATTTAACTGCCACTCTTTTTTGAGCGCAATATTGTATATATATGTAAAAACTCTGCAACATAAGGTTATATTATAATGGAAGCAACACAAGCAAATAGGGAATTTTTGGATGAAAAATTTATTAGAAAAAATTTAATAGAACTGACCATTAAATAGTTTTAAAGTCATGAATGAGAAACTATTTACATAGATAAAGTGAATTGTATTTGAACGCTCTAGTATTTAAAACTATTTTCTTTGACACATAGGATTCCAGTAGTTGCATAAAGAAGTTTTTATCCTAAAAGGCAAACTTAACTTTGAATTCTAGTTTAAATGAAGAACTTAGAGTATGTAAGGGAAACCTTTAATTTTTGGATAGCATACTCTTTAAAGAATAAAAATGAAATTGCATCAGGTGTTTAGTGAACTACCTATATTTATACAATTTGGGTGATTTAGGATATCTTTTTTCAGATTTTGCTTTCACTACTTGTTGCAGGCAACTTATAGTTCTTTGAAAAAAATGTGAAACTCTAGTTTTGATTACTACCGATGTTGTGGGCTTCAGATAAAACCAACGCATATGTAATATGTAATTTAAATGCTTAATATCAGTGAGTTGCAGAGGTTAAATCTGTTAATTTTTAAAAAATATCTGGACAGGTATATATCTGAAGAGCTGGAGATTTAACCTAGCAAATTAACAAAGACTTCATTATAGTCCAGTATTTTGCAGTGACGTTCATTCTTGATGCCCTGTCCTTCCCTCCCTTTTTAGGGAGGAAAAAAACTGACTCTCATGGCCTCAAAATTAAGTTCTGTGGTTTTTTTCTTTCCTATGAGATATTAGGGAGAGGTTAAATAAGAGGTTAAAGTAAACACAATCACCCCCCAATTTACCACTAAATATATAGATATAAGTTGAAATTCGTTAGAACAAAATCTTATATGCAAAGTTACTCTTACCCTAGCCCACCTAAGGGAGAGGAGACATTGGAACTGGCGCCCTGGGTGAACAGACGTTAGCAGGCCGAGCCCAAACCGCACAAGCACTGCTGACGGGCCTTGCAGCCTTCTGTAACGCATAAATCTGAAATGTATATCTGAAAGTAATTAGGAAGAGAGAGCGAAAGAACAAAACCGTGTGTATTATTATTATTATTTGCATGATGCTTGGATGTCCTGAAACCTGGGAATCCCGGCTAATCCCTCTCTCTGTCCAGATTCCTGCATCTTTAAAAAAGTGCGGGGACGGGCTTCACCCCCAGGTTGTCAGTGCTTTTAAGAGAATGGCAAGAAGGCCTGGGCGATTCAGCGCTGGCCTCGGTCCTGGACCCGGAGCTTCCCCCGCAAGCGCATCGTGAGCCCTGATTCCTGAGAAAAGGTAAAGCAGACCTGCCTGCCTCAGTCTCGAGTTTTGCGTCCTAAGAGTTCAGCTTCTCCACCCTCAGGGTTTGGGGTTCCACCATCTTCTTTGCTGGCTCCGTGGGCCTGGCCGACGGGCGGACGACATATGAGAAAGCGAAGGCCGTGGGGCAAGTGAGGGGTGGGCCGTGGGCCGCTAAGCGAGGGCCGCGGGGCACGCGAGGAGTGAGCCGTGGGCCGTGGACCCGGTGAGCCAGGAGAGCGGGGCGCGCCCCGTCAGGCCGCGGGGCGAGCAGGTGCTGGAACAAAGACCGCCCGGCCGCCGGCTACCGCGGCCTTTGATGGGCAAGGACGTCTCCTCCCGGGGCTCCTCATTCGCATGCAAATCCAGCTCCGGTCCCCTTTTCTTTGAAGGCAAACAGAAGGATGTTTGTGTGTTTGTAAGGACGAAGCCTGCTTCAACAAGCCTACCTCAATAGGCTGGGTCTCGAAAAATAAACCAGTTGGACAAACATTGGCCACCAGCTCTCCTCCTCCCGACTACAAAGTGTGGATTTGCTACAACTCATTAACCCGACGCTTTTCTCCCCTTCTCCTTGTTTCTTTGCTCATCAAACGCCCCCGTAGAGCCTGGAGACAAATGACCGAAGCGCAGTTGGGAGGGAATTGCAGTTAATAGGGAGAGGGATATATTGGGGCTAATGGTTCAGGCAGCTCCCGAAGAAGGACCACACAAAAAGGAGCCTCTCCATTCAGGGCTGTGTTGTGCTGTGGAGATTTAATCTGCAGCTAGATTTAGCCAAATGTTATCTATTGCGGGGGTAATGAAGCCCTTATGGATTGAATTGCTCCTTGTACCACACATGGTGTCATGACCTTAGATCATTTCTTGGTTGATTTCTTTCTTCTCTATTGGGTAATTATTTTATTTCTTTAAAATAAGAAGCTAGCGCTTCTGCTCAACAACGTGTTTGCTCTCCATCCCCATCCCGTGCATTTATTTAAGAGGCACTTACTTCCCTTCCTCTTAAAAAAGAAAAGAAAAAGAAACTGAGGAGGCAAAGGAAAAAAATCGTGAGGACTTTCCCCATTTTTTACTCACTAAGGCATCTTGTTTGCACATCTCCGCTTCCCTGTCCCCTACTCAGTGGCCCATTCCTGCCTTAACTTTCTGCTGATGGAATTGGAATTTGGGGTATATTTGTTATCAGACTTCTTACAGTGAACGTAGTAAGCATCTCTTTGGGGGGAAGGTTTCTGCCGTTCACAGTTTTGTTTGTTTTTAACCCACCATTTCTTCCTCTAGCCTGTCCTCTGAGAGAGCTGGGGGAGGTGATTATTTTGATGGAATACCAGCCTGTGCCATTTATTAAAGGCTGTCTGAGGCCAGTGGCTGTGCCTGTTTTGTTTTTCTCTCTCTGGCTCTGGTGGCTCTGATTTCCTTGCTTGACTGAGGACCAAGCTTGGAGCAGCTAACAGTGTTATTACAACTGCTATTGATGGGTAGGGATCTGATGTTACTACCCAGAGCTAGGAATTAAGAACTCTAATTTTAGTTTAGAAATTCTCTGCTGGCTACACATTTTGCTCACACCTGTCTTTATAACTGACTGAGAAAAGTCATTTAGGGGCAAATTAAAGGTCATATCAGCATCAAACTCAATCCAAATCAGAAATCTGCCCAGGAAGGACCCTGGTCTCTCTGGGCTTCTCCAAGGGAGGGTAGCCCTGGGACTAATTGGAATGCCAGGGGTCCCCTTCCCTCTTTAGAACTGAACCAGATAGGCCTGGGGAGCAGAGGACAAGTGAAGTGGGCCCGGCATTGTCAGTATCCATTCTTGTCTCTACTGGTTTCCTGGTGTTGCAGCTGGGTCACACATATACACACGCAGGCGTGCACGCTCATTGCCCATCAGCTACCACTCGCCTCCCTTCTCGCCTATGATTTTGTAATTAGGCATATGCTTTTTGTTGGTAAATGTGTTTGATGTCATGGCCAGTGAAACGTGGAGTGTTTATAGGGCCACGAATGTAAATGTGTAAATATGTTTAGTGTAAAAATCTGGCCCTTCGACTTTAGCAATAAATACCCTGCCAACTCGGATACAATTACATTTGACAGAAAGATGGAGAATCTGATCATGACCAGCTGCTCAGGGCTCTTTGGGGCTTATACTTTGCCAACTGAATTCACTTTTCAGATAATTTCTTTGCATGTCACATCTCTCTAATCACATCTTTCCCTTGATGTGAACAGCTTGGGCTCCCTTCTTTTTATTGTTGACCCCTCTGGCATGCAGGAAACTTCCTGGTTCATTCCTCCTGCTTCCTTTACCAGGAAACTACTGTTCAGTAACAAGCAAAAAACACACATAGAAAACAGCTGATTCTTATCATCGAGCCCCTGTTTAGAGTCGGAGTCTCCAAGTGTGATAAGGTGGCTAGGAAGAGAAGTGAGGATAAAGACTGTAAGCGTCATATTTATAATTTTTCTTGTCCTTAGCATTATCATCCTAACTTTAAAAACTGTTTTGAGTTACTCTACCTTTTAAAAGTGAACCTTTTAGGGAATTATACATACAGGAAAATGCACAAATCTCAACCACTTTTCACAAAGTGAGCACATCTGTGTAACCAGCTTCAGCTCAAGAAGCATGTTACCAGTACCCAAGAACCCCTTTCCTGTCTATTCCAGTCACCACCCTCAGCACACATTAACTTTTCAAAAGGATTTTCACTAATACTTCTCTCAACCACATTGTGAAATAGTGAGGACAATAATTGTTATTGACCCCACTTTACAAATAAAGATATCAAGGCTCAAAAGATATGAAGTGACTTGCCCAAGGTCACAGCTACTGGGATGTCAGCATTTAAATCCCATTTTGTTGCCATTACATCACGCCGCCACTGTGTTACCATCATTGTGATTGATTAAATGCCCACTGTGGTAGGGTGATTGCCTTAGAGGTCACTGTGTAGAAGAGTCATTTATTTCTTGTACACTTTTTTGGTGTTTTCGCTAGATTCTCCTCCTTGCCACTTCCACTCAGGGCTTCCCAGAGATACGCAGCCCCTGTTTTGGATGAATTTGGAATTGATAGCTAATTATTTCAGATATATCAGCTTCTTTCACCTAGTTCTACATGACACTCTCCTAATATCACTTTTTCTTTTTTTTTTTTTGCATCAGCAATCTTCTTTAAAAAATCACACACACACACACACACACACACACACACACACACGGCTTACCTTTCCACCTCTGTAATATTTGTCCGTTTCCTCGGCTTCTCTCACTGATTTTTAAGGCTCAGAATCTGCCAAACTGGCAGAACGTTTTGCTAAGATGCTAAGTAGGTCTTTATAACCAGACTTAGGATCACATCCTTCTCATGTGGAAATGGGAAGAGTACGTAAGGGTCAG